AAACGCCCCAATCTGCCCCGAAACACCCCAGTCTGCCCCGAAATGGCCTGAAATACCCCCAAACGACCTCATCTGTCCCCAAACGGCCTGAAACGCCCCAATCTGCCCCAAAATACCCCAATCTGCCCCAAAATGCCCAAGTCTGCCCCAAAACACCCCAATCTGCCCCAAAACGCCCCAATCTGCCCCGAAACACCCCAGTCTGCCCCGAAATGGCCTGAAATACCCCCAAACGACCTCATCTGTCCCCAAACGGCCTGAAACGCCCCAATCTGCCCCAAAATACCCCAATCTGCCCCAAAATGCCCAAGTCTGCCCCAAAACACCCCAGTCTGCCCCAAAACGCCCGAGTCTGCCCCGAAACACCCCAATCTGCCCCAAAACACCCCAGTCTGCCCCAAAACGCCCCAATCTGCCCCGAAACACCCCAGTCTGCCCCGAAATGGCCTGAAATACCCCCAAACGACCTCATCTGTCCCCAAACGGCCTGAAACGCCCCAATCTGCCCCAAAATACCCCAATCTGCCCCAAAATGCCCAAGTCTGCCCCAAAACACCCCAGTCTGCCCCAAAACGCCCGAGTCTGCCCCGAAACACCCCAATCTGCCCCAAAACACCCAAGTCTGCCCCCAAACACCCCAATCTGCCCCAAAATGGCCTGAAATACCCCAAAACACCCTCATCTGTCCCCAAACAGCCTTAAATGCCCCAAAATGCCCGTCTGTCCCCAAATGCCCCAAAATGCCCCTGTCTGTCCCCAAATGGCCTGAAACGCCCCAGTCTGCCCCAAAATACCCCAATCTGCCCCAAAACGCCTAAGTCTGCCCCAAAATACCCTAGTCTGCCCCAGAATGGCCTGAAATGCTGCGGTTTGTCCTGAAATGGCCTGAAATGTCCCAAAACACCCCAATCTGCCCTGAAATGCCCCAATCTGCCCCAAAACACCCTGATATGCCCCGAAACGGCCTGAAACACCCCAAAATGCTCTGGTCTGACCCCAGACACCCTGATCTGCCTTAAAACAGCCAGAAATGCCCCAAAATGGCCCATTCTGCCCCAAAACACCCCAATCTGCCCCGAAACGGCCTGTAACACCCCAAAACACCTCAGTCTGCCCCAAAATGGCCTGGAACACCCTGGTCTGCCCCGAAACACCCCAGTCTGCTCCAATCTGCCCTGAAACTGCCTGAAATGCCCCAATCTGCCCCAAAATGGCCTGAAATGCCCTGATCTGCCCCGAAACACCCCAATCTGCCCCAAAATGGTGTAGTCCATCCCCAAATACCTTGTTCTGCCCCAAAATACCCTGATCTGCCCCAAAATGCCCCGATCTGCCTCCAAACACCCCCTCTGCCCCAAAATGCCCCAATCTGCCCCCAAAACCACCTGATTTGCCCCCCAAACACCTCCTTCTGCCCCCAAATCCCCCATTCTGCCCCCAAACTTCCCATTCTGCCCCAAAATGCCCCATTCTGCCCCAAAATGCCCCATTCTGCCCCAAAATGGGCCGTTCTGTCCCCAAACCACCCCATTGCACCCCAAATCCCCTCATTCTGCCCCAAAACACTCTGTTCCAGTCCAAAGTGCCGCGCTCTGTCCCCAAAATGCCATATTCTGCCCCAAAATGCCCCCAGCTGCCCCAAAACAGCCCGTTCCGCCCCAAAATGGCCCGTTCTGCCCCCAAACCACCCTGTTCCACCCCAAAACCTCCCTTTCCTGCCCCAAACCCCATGTTTTGCCCCAAAATGGCCCCGATCCACCCCAAAACCCCCGATCCACCCCAAAACGCCCCGCTCTGCCCCCACAATCCCCCCTTCCCCCCC